AGCAGGGGGGGGCTCTCGGCGGCGCGGCTGAGCCCGCCGTGGCTGCGGCTGCCCGAGGTGCCGGGCGCGGAGCCGCACCGCGCCAACGAGCTGCTGCTGCTGCCGCCGCCCGCCCCGCGCGGCCCGGCCCCGCTGCCCCAGCACCACGTCGTGTACTTCCCGGGGGACGTGCAGGTACGGCGGCAGGGCTGCGGGAGGGAGCGGGGCAGCGGCGCTGCAGGGGCTGTGCGGGTGGGCTTTGACGGGCTGCGGGGGCCGTCAGAGCTCTGGCCCCGGGGAGCATCTCGCTGCCCGTCACCGGCGGGCACAGCGAGCGGGAACGGGCCCTCCGGAAACCTGAGCTGGAGCAGCAGTGCGGGGGAGTTGAGTCGTCTTTACGGAATGAACCGGGTTGGAAAAGACCTCTGAAGATCATCGAGTCCAATCCAACACGACCGTGTCAACCAGACCATGGCACTGAGTGCCACGTCCAGTCTTTCCTTGAACACCTTCAGGGGCAGTGACTCCACCACCTCCCTGGGCAGCCCATTCCAATGTCTAATCACCCTTTCTATGAAGAAATTTTTCCTAATGTCCAACCTGAACCTCCCCTGGTGCAGCTTAAGACTCTGTCCTCTTGTCCTGCCACTAGTTGCCTGAGAGAAGAGACCAACCCCCACCTGGCTACAACCTCCTTTCAGGTAGTTGCAGGGAGTGATAAGGTCTCCCCTGTGCTTCCTCTGTTCCAGGCTAAACAACCCCAGCTCCTTCAGCTGCTTCTCACAGGACTTGTGCTCCAGACCCTTCACGAGCTTTGTTGCCCATCTCTGGACACGCTCCAGCGCGGAAGCACTGCCCAGTGCTATAGTGGGGATGGCAGTGTCTGAAAGCGTGTCAGGGAGTGTCAGTGGAGATAAGATGATGAAACCCTAAGATGGCAAGTTGTCCTCACCAGGCAGAGCACCTCATCACCATGCAGGTGTATGGATAGGCCAGACACCGTCCTGCGGGAATTTGACAGGCACAGGAATTTGATGCTTTCTCAGCCTGCCCTGAGAAGGCAGTTGTGGTCTCTGAGCTGGCAAGAAATTGCAGAGACCCTGAAGTGCTGTCCCTGTGCACATGGTCGAGCTCTGTAACATTGCATGCTCTGGCACTTTGCATAGCCAGCTAATCTCAAATGTCATTACTACTTCTCAAAAGCAGGGGTGGTGGCTTTTTCTTCTAAGGAAAAGGATTTCCTTTTCTGTAAGGTAAAGATGCAGAACTTTTTATTTTAAGGATTGGGATGGCCTTAGAACCCCTACCTGATTGCCATTTCTGGGTATTGTTTCATTGTTGCTTAACAAAATAAATGAAGTAGTATTCTTTGCCATTTTGACTTCAGATATAAAGATCATTCATGACTTGGGGGTAGTTTTTTTTCCATCTATACCCTTTATGGATGTGAACAAGGGCAATAAAGACTTCCTACAGCTGAATGAGAGGGATTTTTTTTTTCTGTATATAAGATAGAAAACTTATTACAAAGTTTTAAGTCTCTTGTCGATTTGAAATAAGATAATTGGTATTTCTGTAGATGGAGGTAATACAGTAAAATTATGTATTCTGTGTCATACTAAGTTGAATAATACTTTAATCTTCTTTTGGCATGAAGTCAACAAGAATTATTAATACTTTCATGTGCCTATTTTTATTGTATTAGTTTTGGGGGTATTAAAAAGTGTGGTAAAAATATTAAAGTAGAATAAGTAAATCTAAATGCATCCGTTTTTTAATGTGTTTCTTGTCCTGCAAGCCTAGCAAGTGAGCACCTCTAATGCATGTTTCTCTCTTACAGTCCTTTCTTAAAAATATGAGTGCATTGGAGCTGAAGTCTTTTCAGAATGAAGTAATGCATCTTTTCTGTTTTATTTTTTTTTAATTTTTCAGAACTATCATGACATCATGTCTTGCCATCCAGAAAACTTTCAGTGGGAGCACTGGAGTTTTGAAAATGTTGCTACCATACTTGCTCGCCGGTTCCCCAATAGCTTTATTTGGGTCATAAAGTGTTCTCGAATGCACCTGCACAAATTCAGTTGTTATGACAACTTTGTGGCCAGTAACATGTTTGGAGCACCAGAGCACAGCACTGACTTTGGAGCTTTCAAGCATCTCCATGCTTTGCTAGTTAATGCATTCAGACTCTCTCAGAATATTCTGCTGTCCCAGAAAAGTGTGCATGGTGTCAGCAAGGATGCAAAAATAGCTGCTTGTAAATCACAGCCGCAGTCTGTTCCTACAACAAATGGCTGCTCATCCACGGAAAGGGAGAGAGATTGTGAATGCTCCAATAATTCTGCTGTGAACTTCATGATACCGTCTGCTGTAGGTGCAGTGTCTTTTACTTTGATTGGCTTCAGTAAAGGTTGTGTGGTTTTGAACCAGCTGCTTTATGAGCTGAAGGAAGCTAAAAAAGACAAGAACACGGATGCCTTCTTAAAAAACATAAAAGCAATGTACTGGTTGGATGGTGGTCACTCGGGAGGAAGCAATACTTGGGTTACTTACCCTGAAATGCTGAAAGAACTTGCAGAGACAGGAATTGAAGTTCATGCTCATGTTACGCCGTACCAAGTGTTTGACACAATGAGGTCATGGATTGGAAGAGAGCATGAGAAATTTGTACAGATACTTGAAGATTTTGGTGTGGAAATAAATGATCAACTGCATTTTGCTGATGATGTTCCCTCCTTAGATAACCATTTCAGAGTTCACGAAGTATTCTGAGACTGTGTATCTGAACAGCATATTCATTGTAGAAGCACTTTTAACACTGTAAATGTTGTCATCTAGATTTTCAACTTTGAGCAGATGCTTTCTGAAGAGAATACTAAATCAGTTCTGTGTTGCTAATAGATACTATATATAAATTTCAGTAGCTTACAAAGGAGTATTTGGGACACCATAACTATAACAGATGTAATTTGATTCCTGGAAAAAAGTCTTATGAAGAACTATCCTATACATGTTCTTTTGTTAAATGTGAATGTTTATTTTAAACTGTTGGTAGACTTTTTAGTCCTGGATTTCTAATGTGATATACTGCATTTAATGGGAGTATAAAGTACTTGATAATTTCAGATGTCTGGATATTTCAGTTTAGTGGCTTCCAGAGCTAAAAGCATTGGTCTTTGTCAATAACAGATTTATGGTTAGTTTTTTGTTTTGAGGAAATTGATTGTTGGAAGAACCTTAGTTATGTATTTTGGTGGAAAGTGTTCTATTTAGTTAATTAAATCTTCCAGTTTTGTAACATTTCTCCTAATTGAAACCAAGTTACAAATATTCACCTTTGGAATAATAGTGCCAATGCATTTTTCTTCCTTATGTGCGCCTTGCCATTTCTGTCACTATAAAGTTTCATTAATTGATTGTGTAGTATCTGCCAGTGAATAGCCATTTCAGCTGGGGGCTTGAAAATTTTGGCATAGCTATGTTAAGTAACCAAGAATGTTGATGAACACGTAGCTTATTCCTGTTTCAACATACCATGCTATTGCTTTGACTGACTTCTATAAGGACCAGCAGTAATATCTGTTTTAACATGTGAAGAGGTGTCTTTGTCCCTGCCTTGGAGTGCTAAGGTTTTTCTTGGTAATTGCTGCATTGATGTTGATCTAAATCGAGCCATAAGCACATAATGTGTTACAAATCGTGTAAAAATTTTAGACTGCGTTGACTGCTTCCAAAATGCCTCAGTTTTAAAATCTGTTATGTATTACAGTAGTTGCTTCTAGAGCTATCAAAAAAATCTATTTTCAGACCCTAATCTGGTTCAGGCCCCAAACCTGAACGTTCTTGAGAAATACCGAAAGATGGACAGTTATCATTTTAGTGGAACTTTTCTACTGTCGTAAGTAACTTTCCATTTATCTACAAAACTTAGAATCATTCTTAAAGACAACTGCAGTTATTAGCAATGAACCAGTAGCTGCAAATGGTTTTGGATTTCCTGGAAGTATAGGAATACAAAAGCAAGTTAGCAAAACACTGTGAAGATTACACAAACAATTGTGGCTAAGTTCTGAAAAAAGGCATTTTATTCAATTTTGGTCCTATGTTTGATGGCTTAGTGACATCTTTGCCCTGCTGCTTTTTTCCCATGACTCTTAAACTGGGAGGAAGGTCCTGAGTCATCTTTCTTATGGTGGCATCATTAAAAGTTACAGGGTTTACTGTAGACAGCTCTTGGCAAAGGTTATGCATATCAGTCATTACTGAACAATGAGAAAAGTGTGTTGAAGTCCTAAGAAAATTTTCTTAATACTCAAAATATTGAGGGTGGTAGAAAGGATTATATGTGCACCTTACAATTTGAAAGTGAACTCTATTGCTAAAAATAATGTACCTAGTTGATCAAAAGGAGAAATTATTTATTTTAATTGATGGAGAAAAGTGCAACATGCAAACCAACTCTTAACACTGTATAAAGGAATCCAAAATCTAGTTCCCTCAGCTTTTTTTAATTTTAGACTCTTTCTTGGAGATATTGTTCAACCCTATTTGTTGATTACCATCTTAGTAGGCTTATAACAACTTGTTTATGTGTTTCAAGGAACATTATTTCCCCTTTTTGGTCCTTTTGATAACGCAGCATATGCGAGGACTTTTTTCTGTAAAAAAAAATGGGTCACCTAAAGAAGTGGCTTTAATAGAAAGCCTGCAAAATGTCCTGAAATATATTTAACTATCCACTTATAAAACAAAACTTTAAAAAATAAACCAACAAAAATCCCAAAACACTCTACTCATTTTGCTCCCTCTCAGTTTCAGACTGACCAGGCTAACACTAACACTTGCCCTATCCAGTAACTGCAGATCAGAGACCAATTTTTAAACAATTCGGTGCCTGCCAAAACAACGGGACTTGCAAGCTTTTGGAAACAGCTATTAAAATATTGACATTGTCTTCAAAAGTTTCTGGATGGCTGTCCTATCAAAATACTACTAACTTGTTTGATGGAGGCTGCCTACAATAACTCTTAAATAGGCTCAAGTGTTGCTGCATTACTTTGAAGAATAAGCACTTTGTTGTAAAACTAATCTTGTTATGAGACCTCATGTTGTGGAGGGAAAACTGACTGGTTGTTTCTCATTCTTTAAACAGCTGTAGTACTCTGTTGGAATGTGCCTCTGTCATTCATTACAATGCATGCTAAAAATAAATTTTGCAAACAATGTAGAAAATAAACTATTTCTAATGGGTGAAACCACTTTGATGTGAATGTAAAACCATTAAACAGGGAATGTGCAGTTAAGTTTTGTGGATTAAACTTTATCAGGTGTTTGTGGAGACCTAGTTTAAAAAATCAGATTTGATAACTTTTCTTCAAGGAAGCTTTATATTTGTGCAGTAAGCATGTGTAATTCTAAAACAGCTTACTGGCATCTCACATGCATGGGAAAGCTGGCACGAAGTCTGCAAGGGTGTGAACATTTCTGTGTTAGGATGAAATGGGTTTGTATATGCCTGGTTTTCAATGTTAACTATAAAGGCAGATTCAAATAAGCTTAGATGTAAATGCCTAAAGTTAAGTGGTTCTTATAGTGGTTTAGTTCAAGACACTTCTGGTTTTGAATGGAGTGAACAATGTTACACAGTCCTTAGTTCAACCTAGTAATGACTGGTGTTCTTTATACTCCATGCTTGTTTCTTGTACAGTAGACAAGACATTCTTCATATTTTGAGAAACGCTAACATGTTTTAAACTGTGCCTGTTAAATTCCTTTAAAGCAAGGCTTGATTCTGTGAAACTGTCTGGATGACTTAAATGATTTTGTGTGCATCTAAAATACTAGAAACTTTGGTAACTGTCTTCCTATCTAGGACTGATTTAATCATGTCTCTGTAAATGCTGATGCATTAATCGCTATTGGCCCATAATTCTGAAAGATGATTAAGGGTCCAATCTTTAACATGGGGCTGAAAGAAACAATTTTCTCTGTCCTCCCATTGATAACATCCTGCTGCCTCCCTTATGTTAGCACAAGCACTTTATGGTAAGCTGTTCTATCTTTCTAAATTAACATAACTGCTGATAGAGATAACTAACAGGAATCCTATGTATTTAAAAAGTCACCAAAATTATTTTAAATAAGACTGCTATGTCAGTTCAGGAGTTAGGCTGTTACAACTGTGAATATGCACAGATAAAAATGATTGTGTGTGAACATGTAGTCAGATTTTCCCCACAAGTTCTTTTTGAGCTTTTTGCAGAAAGGAAATATCACCTGTGTTTTCTTCCCTCTTACAGTGCTTCTTACCATGCAGTTTTTCCAAAGCTAACACTTACTTCATCCCAGCAGATAATCAGTATTTGTTGTCTTGTACAGACTTGAAGCACTGAGGTTAAAGTCTACCCATTCATTTACCTTGAATGCTTATTTTAAATTACACGTGTATTACATCAGTTAATACAAGAATTTAAAGAACAGTAAACATTCTGGGATGTGTGTGCTCAGTTGTGAGCCACATTCTAGGTACATCAGAGCCTGGTAGAATCCACAAATATGAATGTGTCCTTGTGCAATACAAAAGCAAAGATGGATGTCTCAGACTACAACCCATAAGAGACAGCCTCTTTAAATCACCTTCAAACTTACTTCTTCACAATCTTTTTAATCTTATATTGAAATCTCGTTTCATTTTTGTAATGGTGGTAGGTGAAATTTAAAAAAATTACTTTTGATGGTCATAACCTCATGAAAATTTAGACACATTTGAATATTGCAGATGGAGATTCTAAGACCAAAGCTGATTTTCTGTTGGTGTTGTTGATCTCTTAACCCTGTTCAGATGCAGGGGGACTGTTTTTAACTTGAATAAAGTAACATGAAGTCATTAAGCCAGTAATGCAAGATCATATAACACCTATGTGGAAGATAGGCACTGCTTCTTCCAGTGCCAGACATACTGTTCCTGACTAAAATCATCCTATTGGTATTAACAGCATAATTCTCTCCTCCTGCTGACAAAAAACACTTGCACAGGATTAGCTGTTCCACATCACTGTGGAAACCATGGAGGACTGATTCAGGCAGTCATTTTGCAGTTAGTGTAACGTGGGTTATAAAGTAGTGATGGCTTTGTCATCCCTTCCTGTCATTAGGGCTTCATTACATGTTTCCAAGTGACCCAAGAAGTGTCAAATTCTACTTAAGCAAATGACCAGAAAAGCATCTGGTAGAAAAAAGGGAAAAAATAAATTATTATCTGTTTTTAATTGATGTGTATAAACATCTTATACACTTGAAAAGGAACAGAATGCTGTTACTTCAAAGTTCAAAATAAATTTTCTTTCTTTTAGTAAGCTCTCAAGAGAGCACTTTCAGTCATGACTGTTAGTTTCCTTTGTCAAACCTGGCACTTCAGAGCTGAATTGTTTCCAAACAAAGCACTGCTGCAAGACACAGAAAGCAGTCAAGAGACATACCGGTGCTGAAGGGCAGAACAAGGCTCTTTGCATCTCCCACACCGAGTTTACTCTCTGAGCAATACTCCAAAGCCTGGGTGTCAAAGCCATTGCATCCCTTATAGACTGTGTGCCTAGCTCCTTCCCATTCCCTGTCACGAGAAATACATTGATTTTGTGTGATGGAAGTTTAAAGCAGTTGATGTACTGCTTGACAGCTGAAGTATAAATGTTTTCACAGCAAAAATTGTCCGTTGCTATGATCTGTGTTGTTATTGCAAGCAGTAGCTTCAGAGCATTTTTGTATGAACGTGGCATCGCACGTGGAGCTGTGTGTTTTGCATGGTTGAGCAGTTCTTTTAACGTTTTCAATCTGCTCTTAAAAGTGTTGACTAGGAACAGGTCTGAACAATTGGAAAGAAAGTAATCTACTCTTGTTGATCTCAGAAATGGCCACTTAAAAGAGATCCTTGCTCCCGGGAATTGCCACATAAAGAACTCAGATTCTATCCCCACTCCTAGAGTCTGACCCAAAGTAAAATAAGAAATATTAACATGCAACTTTACTGCAGACTTAGGTAACTGTTTAAAAAATGTCCTTCTAGTAACACCAGAATCTTTGGTTATTGAGTGATACCAATCTACAGAGCATCTCTTGTAAAAGTTACTGTCTCAGAACGTGTATCTTCAACACCTGTATCATCTACGTGAAAACATCAGGTTTGCGAAGATAAACTTTGGTCAGAGGAAAAAAAGAATCAAGTTTGTACAGGAATTTCCCTGAAGCTGGGAAGTAATGCATATTGGGATCACATCATATGTATTATAACCTCTAGTATGATAAAATCATCTTCATCTTAGTCGAGTTAGTCCTGTTGTGGGACCAACAGCATGAATGAGGCGAATAGTTTTATATTTAAAAAAAATTGCAAATATATTTCTGATCCTTCATGATGAAGTCAAACCCTTTCACATTAGGCATTTAACTTGACACTCGTATTAAGAACCTAGACCCTGTGTAGCTCCTGGAGAGAAAGAAGTTGTTAAGTTAGGTACATCAAATTGTCAGCATATACATAACAGGCAGATTTTTAATGATCTGTTTCATAGTTTGACCAAAAAAATTTTTGACATAAATTTTTTTCACTTGGTTCTTTCCCCAGAAAGCACATTAAGAAAAATGAAATCTGAAACATTTGTCGTCCTTTATATTTCAAATAACCAAGAATAAATAATTCTTTCCAGGTTTTGACTTCCATTTTAAAGGTCTCAGTCACCAAATTTTTAGAGTAATTCAAAGTTTGGGGTATATAGGCCAAGTTTAAACTGTTGATTTCAGACACTGTCTTTATGTAAGTATCTTAACTTATCTTTCAGTGCTGGGCAGTCTGCATTACCCAGCTCCTCTCCTGAAGACAGAAGACAGCTGAAGTGGCTGCTTTGAATGCTTAAGATGGTCAGTGTTTATTTTCTAATACCTGTTACCACAACTTCATGGGTTTTATTGTGGCATGATCCCATTTTGGTTTAGGTCTCTAAAGGATAAACTTCCACAAAATGTCAGTGGCTCTAATTCTTTGTTATTTCAGTAGTGGATTTTCAAGTGTGGCTACTTATATTCTCTCACTATGTTAGCTGGAAGTTATTCCTTTAATGCTTTCACCATTCATTCATCACTTTATTGCCTGTTTCACACCACATAGCACACTGGTTAGAAAGCACCAAATAATTTCATTTTTTTTAACACAGTAACTTCCAGATCTTTATCACTAGTCACATTATGTTCAAATTAAGAAAATGCATTTTTAAGCTGCTTGTTTTCTCCTTTTATAGCATTTCAGAACAACTGTTTTATAGATGTTACGAAATAAGAAATTTAAGAAACTCTTTCAAAGTGAAATAAAGGCTTCATTTAAAACTTGGTAGCATGAAACTGAATAGCTGCATTTGCTATATAGCCAGATATACACTTTCCAATCTAGACTTCATGCTAGCCTAAACAAATGTACTGTTGCAGCTTTCCTGCAGGGTTACTTCAGCACTAACTGCAGCTGAGGGATGCAAGGGTTTCAATTGGCCTAAGGTGTTTAGACTAATAATTTAATAGCTTCCCTTACAAAATTAAAAGGGGATTGAAAAATATTCAAAATAGCATTCTGAACACTTGTGGCTTGACAGGTCTTATTTATGCTTTTTACATACATACTATGAAACCAGTATTATTGAAAATCTTAATATCACCATTAGGAGGCACAGCAGTGAATGTATTTGACCCACAGGATTTTCCTCCTTTACTTTCCCTCTCTCCAAGAGCCTCAAGCCCTCCCACCCTCTCTGAAGCACAGCAGGCACTTCCCACAAGTGAGGCAGCAGCAGGTCACTCATACACCAATTGCTGCTCCACAAAGCTTCCCTTATTTACTACTGAGTGTTGAGGGGGCCTGAGAACACCGGGCTATCATGTCCCTTTTGTGACTGGAGAATCAAGCAATGGCAGGATACAGGAGCAGCACAGGACTTCTCTGTATCAGTATATTGAGGCAGTTATAGTTAAAAGAGATGGCTGTGCAGGCACAATGCTGGAACACAGCTTTGTCTAGCCCTGCAGGCTCTCTGAGCCTCTCCATTTAGTCCCGACACACAAAGAATATGCTCTGTTCACCTCTGCAATTCAGATGGGGCCCTCGACATCACCGGTCTAACAAAGCCAAGAGGTTACCCCAGCCTAACAGTCTGTCTCAGCAGTATGCACAAGCAATCCTTGTTCCTTTTTGAACAAAAATTTTGGGAGACCTATTTGTGATCCCAAATTTAAATTCTACCCTCAGAACGTACAATGATGCCCATCAGAATCGC